GTCATCGACCACAGGCACCTTGTCCTTGCGGTTGATTGCGAGCTGATGCTCATACAACCTTGTGCCAAGGCGTCTGCCCGTTTCACCAACATACTTTGCATTGCAGTTTTGGCGCGAACAATTCAAACAGCCGCTAGCTATCGATTGATACAATCGATCGACACACGTACGTCAGGCACGGCGAGTGGTTGGACACACTCACTTGACATCTGGCAGAATAACAGTCACTACGCTCTGACGATGGAAGCGAGAATGCTTTTGAAACGTCAGCACAGATGCAACTTGGTCTCAGAAATTGCCCCGTCTTCTTCTTCCTCTCCCAAGGACGATGAAAGCAATATTATACCTGCACCTCGGATACTTTCGCACGAAACTACCTGTGTATGAAATACCCGTTTCTGCTATTGTCTCTGCTGAGGTATCCGTGACGAATTTTGCATCATCAGGCGAACAAGTATACTTCTTCTCAGACCGGAATAGGGCCCGCGCGGTGGAATGCATACTGAATTATAGCTTTGGTATAAGTTTGATGGCAATTCCTAGCTTTAGTAGTACCAACCAATGATTTCTGCATGACAAAAATCAATTAATTGCAATGCTGAAACTTGCAGGTGATTTCAAAATTCATCCTGTGCAGAACATCGAGGAGTTCAGCGGCGGTGATGAATCCATCGTGGTCCTGCAACAGTAAGTAGTATGTTACAGTCAACATTAATAGCCACTATATGCTTGAGATAAACGCAGTAGCAGCCTCTTGAAAAGTAAATAGTTTAGCGTATAATGTTGTGGTTATTAATTAGCACACGAAGCAGTAGTAAATGAGAAAGCTATCACCTAAGGTGACGGCTTGTTATTCATGTTGAATTTAAAACTCACTACCTTTCCGCAGATAGGCAGTACATAATGAGGTGAAAACACTAGAAATGTAGAGTTCGCACACATGAAGAATAAATTGTAATCAAAAACTCGATTCTGAAAAATTACGATTGCAGGAGATCAAAGCTAGCCATGAACTGGGTAGTGGAAAATTCGACTCAAAAGTCAGTTCAGTAATAAAGTATCTTCAGTAAGTTGTCATCGGACCTCTACAATTTTGTAGATGATAGGAATATGAAAGCTGGGCAGGAGTTTTTGAGGGAGAGGTAAGCCTTAATTTGAAAATGTACTTCCAAAAATTTCAGCAAAAAACGTCCTTAATTCAGCGTGAATAAAATTAGGCACATAAAACACATAAGACTGCCAGATCATCAACAATATATAATGCTCGAACACTGCAATTGCCAAACGCATAACAAATCGTCAAAAGGTAGGGAAAACTGGGCGTCCTTCAAAAATAGGCTATTTTGTGCGCTAATGTCCACATTGTCGTAGTTCGAATAAACAAAGGGGAATCAAAATCGGTTCACAATGGGCGCAATAGGCTAACCGATGTATAAACAATACACTTATATGCAAATGGAGAGCATGAAACATGACAGCTCAATCTCAAACTTTCTTTTGGTTGATACTCGTCACCACCGGAATAGAAAGGTTGGCATATTAAGGCCACGTGGACGTTGGGAAGATGGAAGTAAGATAGGTTCTGAGTAATGTTTGTCGGTCAAGTGTGCGGGATGAGCAAGTTGCAGTAGGGGGTGTTGGCGACATGTAATCATAACCTGCTGTTGACGTCGGCCACGGAAGAGGAAGCGCCTGTATTGGTGTCTTTTGACAGCACAGTCCTGGATTAGCTAGCCGTACACTTATTGCCTTGGCTTTTGCTAAGACCCGTTGGATAAGTTCTTTGGCCTGCTCCATCGTCCTGTCCTTTCCAACGTGACATAAACTTCCCGCTGCATCACCGAATAACACTTTCTTATATCTCACATTTTCACTGCCCGGGAGCACTTCGCGTTTTATACACAGTTATATTTTTAAGGTTGAACACACGGCATGAAAGTTCCCTTCGTGCTAACGTGACATTCTCATTTATTTGGCTCATTACTGGGTCCCGCAGCATTTTCCGTATGTTTTCTGGTATGTGGACTTTTGTTTTCGCGCAGTCTCCCTTAATTGCCAAAGAAATTAATGCACGAACTTGAAGTAAACTCTTCCGAATGAACACTTTCAACTGTTTCAGTGTCTTCCCAGGAATTAACCGCAAGGTCGCACATCAATTTCTCCAGAATTTTAACAAGGCCGCAAACTAAGTGGTTTTATAAATAGCCCATTAAAACAATTCCATTAAACGAAAGGCAACAGAAAAAATGAAACCCTTTGGCCCTTTTTTGAGAACTCATAAAACTGTGGCTTCAGGTGGCGAATAACGAGCCAGGTAATATTAATGAACTTATAAATTTGCCTTTCCTAAATAGTGGGAAGCCAATTTCTATAAGACATGTAGGAAAAATTCTGATAGGGCACTATAGACTAACAATCATGCCTGAGGATTGCCACATTAAGAAGCTTCCATTACAAAATCTAACTAGAATTTTATGGGGATTATTCGAATGAATAAAGGCATAAGTAGCACATTTACCCACAAGCACTTATTCCAAAAACTGCCGCTTTGTAAAATGTGCTTACAACATGACGTCTCATCCAATAAAAGCAGATTCCCAGTGACGTGTGTCTAAGATTCCAAATGGAGAATTTGTAAATGGGATAAGTAAAATATCAGTTTTGATTTTGTCATCTTTGGGCTGCCTCACTAGACCTATGGCGAGTAGCCTTAAATGCATCATTAGTGGCCAGCGAAAACTCTGATGATACATGCCAGAAAGTTTTTAAGGCGAATGGTCCGATGATGGGCCTTTTGGAAAACACACAAGAAATGCCAGAAAACCTCCTATTTAAACAAAACAGTCCCGAGAAAGAACAGTTTGACTTTTTAATTTTTACTATAATCATATAAAATCGTGCATCTTCCTTAAATGTTTTAACTTATAAAATATATTTTGGTAAATGAAAATATTCATACCTGTGATCTTAAAGAGTAAAAACAGTCAAAAAACGTGAAACGGATCTAATTTCGTCGTATTGACAGCCAGCGAGGTATACATGTGATTCAAATTAAAAAAAGCAAGAACTTCGCTTTTGTCGATGGACGGGACGTTTCGCTGACTTAATCGTACTTACTGTTTTGATTGTGAGATATCAAATTAATGGAAAAAATTTAGCAGGAAATCAAACGTTTAAGCACAACGCGGAGATAACGCAGATCAGGCAGCCACGGGGACTCCTAGAATTGTTTTACAAAGCTCAGCGCGATTATGTAAAATTACACATGTCGCACTTACTTCGGATATGCGTCGAGCCAAGCCTTTCAAAAGTGCTTCTTTTTCTCTCCTTTCGAAGTAGGCAAAAGTAGGCAGCGGCCTTAAATTACAGACTTTTAGCCTTGGGCTTGATGGTGAGGATGATGCTGTTATGAGTGACGTCAATGGAGGTGATCAGTATTCTCCCTTTCATTTTACCTTAGAGATGGTGACCATCAGAAAACCGACGGTAGCCGGCCCATCTGATGACATGTTACATGTCAAACTTTCTGAACTATCTCTCCAATTAGAAATAATTATTTAGATGTAATGATAATATTCATTGTCGTGCAGCATATTCCGAGGATAGTTCAGTCATTGCAGTATGTTGTTTTTTTAGTGAATTTCTTGTCGGCTATCTACTACAATTTCATTTGTTTAAAACGATTACATGCGCAGTAGCAATTTTTCAACCATACTTCTTTACCATATTCATTCAGGTAGACCGTATAGAAAAATATCTGAAAATTTCTTTATTATACATATTTGGCTGCCCTAGAAAATAATTTTAAATAAAAGGGATTTTTATATTTTTTTAAAACATGTTATACTAGGAAGGAACGTTGGACACAATTCACACTTAAACTATCGCTGGACGTTTGAGGACCTAATGCTGCATACATTGTAGACATTTAGGAAATGTCAAATTTATGAGTAAACTCGATTTTATTATATAATTTGAAACAAAATTGATCAGAAGACAGATCTGCTGCTGAATGAAGAAGTATTTTAAGGTATTCAAGAAGGTAATGTTGAAGAATATGTTCTTAATTCAAAAACATCTACCCAGTCAAGTACAAAATGCAAAGGTGTATGCTGCTATCAAAGGACTTCTCAAAATATAAGACTATCTAAAAGATGTGCAAAAAAGTGATGATAATTTACTAGCCCTTTGTGCTGACTATATTATGTTTCAGGCAGCTGGGAAGATTTTCAATTAAAAGCTGGTATTCTGGCCTAACTAAAATAGCTTTAGTACAGTCAAATGCAGGTTGCCTTTTCTAATAGAAAAAGAATTTCAAATGTTGGTTGACATTTACGGAAATGCGCTTTCTATCTACTGCAACCTTCTTAGTTTCAAGTTAAGGCTCGTATTCATCTAAGGAATAGTTTTTTTCTAATGGGCACATATATGATGTAGACATTTCGGATCCTTTCAGATCCTTTTAATGTGCTTATTGCTTTTTTATATGCGTTTCAACGAAAGTAGAGTATGTACCTGTTAAATAAGACAATGTATGCATGCGCATTCGAGACGACGCTAGTCACCTCGAACTCCAGGCATACAACATCTTCGGAAATATATCTACGTCTCGGAGCCACCGATGTTCGTTTAAGAACGACCCGTTTTTTATGAAATGACCTCCCTCTATCAAACTAAAAGAAATACGGATGAGACGCCATTTTATGTATTTTATCGCTATGTACAAAAAAGAGGTCTTTTCCAGTCCCGCCTCCGGTGTCCTTATTGCTGTCATGACACTGGGCACAGGCGGTTGAGGAACGAGAGAGAGTGGGTAGACACGGTGCAAATCACCACGTTTCCTTTCAACCTGCTGTGGAAAACGCGGTGCACATCGCCTAACGTGACGGCTGATATTCCGCATATAAAAATAATTCCTGCCCAGTCTGTTTTGCGTAATTCTAGGTGAGCAAATGCCAGCGAATAAACCCGAAGGTATCTGGAGTCGCCCTTCATTCACGTTACAGGAGGATTTCAATCTGCAGGCGGCTGTAGTGGTAGGCGTAAGAGACCACGTTGTAGACAGCTGAGTATCCTAGATCACAGTCGTGTTGTTTTATGGATAATGCATTTGTGACACAGATACCACGGCATATGTCTGAATCCTGATTAAAATTCAATGGTGACTTTCACAAATGACCATGTCCTAATATTAGTGTAGGGATAGATCGGGTTTGTTTTGCCTTTCCAAAAACGTTTTCGCTAATATGAAGGGGTCTTCTCTTATTAATATAAATCAACCTGAGCGAAGGTATATATACCGCCCTCATCATCTCCCGAAGAGGAGGGGGAAGGGGGTGATCGAACTATATGTGTACAGACGTTTCGAAGCCCTTTTCAAAGTGAGACGGGTTCCAAAACGTTGGTCGAAATAAAATCCGGTCCACGTCCTCGCCCCCTCTTTTTCTTCTTCTTCT